AAGAAATTTGGAAAACAATTATCTCTAACCGACTGGAAAAGATCCATATATGTGCCCATTCCAAATAAAAGTGATCCAACAGAATGCAGAAATTACTGAGCAATATCATTAATACCACATGCAAGTAAAATTTTGCTGAAGATAAATTTCAAAAACAGTTGCAGCAGTGTATCGACTGGGAACTGTCAGAAATTCAAGGCAGATTCAGAAGAGGACATGGAACGAGGGATATCATTGTTGATGTCAGATGGATCTTGGTTAAAAGCAGAAAATACCAGAAAGATGTTTACCCATGTTTTACTGACTATGCAAAGGCATTCGACTATGTGGATAAACACAAATTATGGACACCGTTGCAAAGAATGGGAATTCCACTTAAATGTGCTCATGAGGAACCTATACATAGGCCAAGAGGCAGTCATTCAAACAGAAGAAGGGGATACTTCGTGGTTTAAAATCAGGAAAGGTATGTGTCAGAGTTATATCCTTTTACCATACTTATTCAATCTGTATGCTGAGCAAATAATCTGAGAAGCTGGACTATATAAAGAAGAACACGGCATCAGGATTGGAGGATGTTATGGACTGAATTGTGTCCCCCCAAAATGTTTGTCAACTTGGCTAGGCCATGATTCCCAATATTATGTGGTTGTCTACCATTTTGTAATCTGATTTGATTATCCTATGTATTGTAAATCCTAACCTCTATGCTGTTAATGAGGCAGGATTAGAGGCAGTTATGTTAATGAGACAGGACACAATCTACAGGATTAGGTTGTATCTTGAGTCAATCTCTTTTGAGATAAAAAAGAGAAGCCATTAGAGAGGAGGGGGACCTCCTGCCACCAAGAATGAAGAACCAGGAGGGGAGCATGTCTTTTGGACCCAGGGGTCCCTGCACTGAGAAGCTCCTAGACCAGGGGAAGACGGATGAAAAGGACCTTTCCCCAGAGCTGACAGAGACAGAAAGCCTTCCCCTGGAACTGGCACCCTGAATTCAGGCTTCTAGCCTCCTAGACTGTGACAGAATAAATTTTTCTTTGTTGAGGCCATCCACTGTGGTATTTCTGTTATAGCAGCACTAGATAACTAAAACAGAAGAAGACTCATTAACAATCTGTGATATGCAGATGACACAACCTTGCTTATTGAAAGTGAAGAGGACTTGAAGCACTTACTGATGAAAATCAAAGACTACAGCCTTCAGTATGGATTACACCTCAACATAAAGAAAATAAAAATTCTCACACCTGAACCAATAAGCAATATCATGATAAATGGCAAAAATACTGAAGTTGTCAAGGATTTCATTTTACTTGGATCCACAATCAACATCCATGGAAGCAGCAGTTAAGAAATCAAATGACATATTGCATTGGGCAAATTTGCAGCAAAAGACCTCTTTAAAGTGTTGAAAAGCAAAGATGTCACTTTGAGAATTAAGGTGCCCCTGACCCAAGCCATGGTATTTTCAGTCACCTCATATGCATATGAAAACTGGACAATGAATAAGGAAGACAGAAGAAGAATTGATCCCCTTGAATTACGGTGTTAGTGAAGAATATTGACTATACCATGGACTGCCAGAAGAACGAACATATCTGTCTTGGAAGAAGTACAGCCAGAATGTTCCTTAGAAGCAAGGATAGCAAGACTTTGTCTCATGTAATATGGACATGTTATCAGGATGGACTAGTCCCTGGAGAAGGACTTCATGCTTGATAAAGTAGAGGGCCAGAGAAAAAGAGGAAGACCCTCAACAAAATGGACTGACACATTGGCTGCAACAATGGGCTCAAGCATGGCCTTGATTTTGAGGATGGCACACAACTGGTCAGCGTTTCATTCTGTTGTACATATGAGTCAGAACCAACTTGATGGCACCTAACAACAACAACATTTCTAAACTAAGGAGCCCTGGTGGTGCAGTGGTTAAGTGCTCAGCTACTAACTGAAAGGTCCACAATTCAAAGTCACCAACTGCTGCTCCATGGGAGAAACTACTCGGCAATCTGCTCTTGTAAAGATTACAGCCTAAGAAACCGTATGGGGCTGTTCTACTCTGTCATATAGGGTCGCTGTGAGTCAGAATAGACTCAATGGCGCACAATAGCAATATCTCTAAACCACACCTCTCCTCTGAGCAACAGACCCTTGTGTACAATTCTCTACTTGACTTCTCCACGTAGATGTCTTATAGGCATTTATCAAACTCAACTTGCTCAAAATAAAATTCATTATCTCCTCCTCCCCAAATAGTCCTCTTCTAAGGTTCCTCATCTCAATGAGTGGCATCATCGTCCATCATTTATACAAGCCTGGATGACTTCTCCCTCTTCTTCATTCTGCCCACATTCAGTCTTCAACTGACTTCTAAATATCTCTTAGGTCCATCCATCTCTTTCCATTTCCACTGCCACTAACCTAGTCCAAGACATTGCAATTCTTACCCAGACCTGCTCAGAAGTCTTCCTACACTCATTCTTTGCTCATTCGATCAAGTTCTAAAGATATAGCCAGAGTGAGTTTTTTTTTTTTCAAAAACATAAACTCCACCACCTGCCAGCTTACAATATTTTAACATCTTCTCATTAATCTTAGGATAAGAATCCTTGACATGGCCTACATAGTCCTACATGTTTTAGTCCCTACTGACCTTCCTGTATAGCCTCTGCTCACACTACTGCTTCCCATGACTCCAATTACACTGGTTTACATTCAATTCCTCATCCCTTTGCCACCACCCACACCACAGCCTATCAGCAAATGCTTCTGGTACTGTTTTGCAAGATACATCTTGAATCCAAACACTTCTCATCATTTGCATTTTTAGAATCCTAATCAAAGCTACTATCATCTTTCATCAGGAGTATTACAACAGCCTACTAGGTGGTCTCTCTCTCTGCTTCTTCTCTTGCTCCATTCAATCCATTTTCCAAACAATCACAAGCCAGCAAGAAGGCTTACAGCATAAATCTAATTACACTACTCACTTGCTAAAAACCTTCCAACAGCTACCCATTGCAATTAGAATAAAATCCAAAGGCTTCACTGCTGGCCACAAGGTCCTGATTGATTTGCTCCTTGCCTGCCTCTCTGTCCCCATCCTCTACCATTGTCCTCCTCTTGCTCTATATTCTAGTCACAGTGACCTTCTTTGTAACCTTCTATGTTTCTCTCTCAAGGATTTTTTCTTGCTCTTCCTTATGGTGGAATGCTTTTCTAAGTCCCTAAATGGCTCATCTCTGCAAAACTGGACAATAAAAAAGAAAGATCGAAGCACTGACACATTCAAATTGTGGTTTTGGCAAAGAATACTGAATATACTGTGGACTGCTAGAAGAACAAACAAATCAGTCTTGGAGAAGGTACAGCCAGAATGCACCTTAGAAGCGAGGATGGTGAGACTTTATCTTGCTTACTTTGGACATGTCATCATGAGCGACCAATTGCTGGACGTCATGCTTGGTAAAGTAGAGGGTCAGTGAATAAGAAGAAACCTTCTATGAGATGGATTGACACAGTGGCTGCGACAGTGGATTCAAACATAGCAATGATTTTGAGGCTGGTGCAGGACCCGGCAGTGTTTCATTCTGTTATACAGAGGGTCGCTATGAGTTGGATCTGACTCGACAGCACTTAATGACAACTGACCACTTTCCCTCTCCTAACAAGTTATTTCATTGCTTGACTTTATTTTCTATATAGCACTTATGACTGCTCAGAATTTTCCAATGGCTTCCCATTTCACTCACAGCAAAGTCCCCACCATAGCCCACAAGGCCACACATGATCTGGCTGCCTTTTCCTCTTTGATCTCATTTCCTACCTGTCTCCCCCTCACTCTGCTCTAGCCATACTAGTTTCCTTACTGTTTCTCTAATATCCCAAGCCCTGGCTTAACTCAGGAACCTTGAATGTGCTGTTCCTTCTGCCTGAACAGTCTCATCCATAAATCTACATGGAGTAATCTAGTTTCAGTCTCCGCTCAAGTATCACTTAACACACAGATCTTCCTTGGAGACCCTAATTGAAATAGCACTCCACCTCCACCCCATCACTGTCTATCCCTCACCTTTTATTTCCCTCAAAACACTTCATTGCTTGACATGTTAAATATTTATTTTTAAATTGTCTATTTTCTCCCAACTAGAATGTAACATCCACTAGAGCAGGAATTCTGTTTTCTTCACTGCTGTTTTCATTGTTCTTAGAAAAGTAAACCAAACCAAATCAGTTGACATGGAGTAGATTTCAACTCATGGCAACCCCATGTGTGTCAGAGTAGAACTGTGGGTTTTCAGTGGCTGATTTTTCTGAAGTAGATCACTAGTCCTTTCTTCCAAGGTGTCTCTGGCAGACATGAACCTCTGATCTTTAGGTTAGCAGCTGAGCTCATTCACTGTTTGCACCACCCAGGGACTAAACAGTTTCTTATAAAATAAATGAACTATCTGAAATTATCTTATTAATTTATGTGTCTAAGTCTTTGTCTCCACCACCTTCCCCACATTTAAGCTCCTTGAAGACACAGCTGTTTAGGGGAAAAGGAGGTTAATTCAACCACATTTACAAATCGTAACAGATTTATCTTCTGTGTTTAAACCTTCCCAGTCACTTTCTCTAAAGAGACTCCACTCCCAACAGTCACGGTTATTTCCAGTCATTTGCTATTACAAATCGTGCAGCCTTGAATGGCCTTGCGCGTACGCCTTTACTCATTTTCATCGGTGTATCTTTCGAATACATTTCTAGAAGTGGAATCGCTGGGTCAAAGGGTTAATGGACCTCCACGTGGTTCACACCATTTTGGATCTCCACCAGCAATGCATGAGAATGCCTGTTTCACCACAACCTCGCCTGCCAACTGAGCGTTATCAAGCTTTGGGCTTTCTGCCAATCTGATACTTGAGAAACGGCCCCTGCTAACAGAACCTTTCCTTTCCCCGCCCCACCCCCAGCAAAGACAGTTTATCTCCAGGTCTTGGGGCGCGCGCTACCTGCGAGCAGACCCGGAGCCGGACGGGAGCGCTTTCCCGCGCTGAGGGTGCTCCTCTTCCGCTCCTCAACGCGCCGCCAAGTTACTTTCGCGCGGGCTGCGGGGGCTGGGCACCCTTGCGCAATTTGCCTGAAAGAGGAAGCACAGAAAGGGCTTAAGTAAACACTTAGGCAGGCTGTTGCAAAATAAATCCGGTTTTCTGGACTCATCATTTGGCCACAAGACCCTTATCCCCAAATATATCGAGGCTACAAAGACGGGTCAATTCTCCTGGCATCCTACTAAGGGATCGGCACGGCGTAGGTAGGGGAGGGATGAAAGAGGAAGGCGCTACTTTCCCCAGAATTAACCAAAATATATATATATATATATTTTTTTTTTTTTCTTCAAGGTTTTGGTGTAGAGGAAAAATGAGAGGAAACAAGGCACAGACCCAAAGAGTTGGGAAAAGAGCCCCTGAATTTCATGAGTCTTTTATCCAGGGGCTTTTTTTCCCCCCTCAACACAGGAGTCTGACTTGCACCTCGATGCAACGGCTCGCCTGAGCGCCTTACGTCTGCGCGCTACGTGTGAAGGGCAGGGCTGACACCACTTCCTCCCGGAGGAAGTGGACCTCAAGCTCCGGTGGCGCCCAGCGTACGGCGTCTCCATCCCCTGCTGGTGCCCGGACGCCGCCCTGTGCCCGCCTTCGCGCCCTGCGGCCGCCCGCGCACCCCGCCGTCCGAATCCCCGCACCGCCGTCAAGGTAAGCGACACCCGCCGGCGCGGGGGCACTTGGGGTGCTGCAGCCCCAGGCCCTAGGGGCTCTTACTGGACCATGTGTCCAGCCCGTCGAGTCCAAGGCCGGCCCAGCCCCCAGCACTGGCCGCCGTGGACGCGCGCTCCCTACTTGGCCCTCGAGGGACGCAGGTCTCCCGGGGCCCTTCTGCAGTTCTCCACAATTGACCCAGCCCGCGCGGCGGTTTGGGGCTCGGGCTCGCCTTCCCCGCGATCTGTTTCATCAGATTTGACAAAATTTCCTGCCCAGGAAGTTGCTACAAGGTCACACACGGAACCAGCATGAACCCTCGCCTGTCCAACACGTCCAGGAGCCCCAACCTGACTGAATCTGGAGGAATTTCTGAGACATTTTAGGGCATTGTAGATTAAATATAAGACGTGTGAGAATTTGATAGTGTTGATCACAGTTTGACGAATCTTTAAATCTTTAAAATCTTTAAATCTTTAAAACTTCCAGACAGCTGTTTCTTCTTTTTAAAAATAACTTTCGCCCCCTAGTTATTTCCCTTTTCATTTAAAAATAAGATAGAGGAAAGATTTGGACGCCAGGCACCAGTTCCGAATTTAGCATGGAGTGAATACGAAGAGAGCTGCTTTATAGCATGACGGAAACTATCCGGAGTGCCCTTATCTCCGGAAGGACTGGGTGCTGCTGAAGACCTTGCCAGGTGTACCTCATATTTTCCTTCTGGGAAGATAATTCTTAGAATTCATGTCATTGTGGAACTCTAAATGTGTTGATGTGTCCTAGCGCTACTCAGCAAAGGGTGCAAAAAGAAGTTTTAGTGTGATCATTAGAGAGAAATTCTAGAAAGATACATAGGAGCCCTGGTGGTGCAGTGGTTAAGTGGGCTTGGCTGCTAACTGAAAGGTGTTGGTTGGAATCCACCAGCCCCTCCCTGGGAGAAAAGAGAAAAAACCTGGTCATGTGCTGCCATAAAGATTATACGGCCTAGAAAACCCTATGGGGCAGTTCTACTCTGTCATGTTGGGTTGCTAGGAGTCAGAACCTACTGGAAGGCATGCAACAATATCAAGAGAAAGGCGTATAGGGAAAAGGAACACCGATCGGTTTGTTACTCCCCAAGATAGTGTTTCTAGTGGTACAACCCTTTCGTGAACCATTTATTTTCTGCTTTGAATTTTTTGCTAATGCCATCAGTTTTCATTAATGGAAGCTTGCTAAATCTTTGCGTGTGTTTGAATTTTGGGTAGGTAGTATGGATTTTTTTTCTTGTCCCCTCCGACAAGCCTCCCCTAAGTGTTCAGTGGTCCATATGAAGTACCACTAATTATACCCCAGAGTCCCCACCGGGGTCTGTTGGTACATATGTGTAACAACTAGAAATTCAGACACCTCACACAATACCCTGTAAAAGCAGTAATTTACGGCACCCGCCTGTTTCTTCTGTTTCAAACAGTCGTAAAAGCCCTTGCCTTTTGGCAGCACGCACTGTCAGTGGTGCGCAGCTTCCCGATAAACCTTCAGAGGCAGGAAAAGTACTTGGTCGCTAGAAGTACCCATGAGCATGAAAGGGTTATTACAATGTGATTTAAACAAAGACAAGAGCACTAGCTACTAATTTTAAATTCTGGGTCTCTAAATCAAAAATTCAGAAAGGGAACCTTTGTCCTTTTGAATAAACGTCTAGTGGCAATTCTCTCTTCTCACTGAAATACTGGGATAGCACATGGGCAGTATTATGATAATGTTGGCTAGCAAAGTTAACAGAAGATTTACCAAGAAATCCTCTGTAATGTCTTCCAGATGGTATTTCCTGTCTACTCAATCTGCTATGAAAGACCTGAGAAATTTAATGTCATCTTCAAATTATTAGTACTTTGTCATTTTCACACTACTAATAATACTTATGTATTTTCTCAATATTAGGGAGTCTTGGATTCTGGTTTCATATCTGCCACTAACTAGACATTACTTACCTTCATTAAGTTGTTTAACCTCTCTAGACTTCAGATAATTTATCAGTAGAGTGAGATTATTGGATTAGATTATTTCTGTCATTAAATAGCAATTGAAGAAGTGCTATAATTCTTTGAACTTGTCCTGTCTGGAATCCTGGATAGTTAGAATTGCTGATCACTAATAAAAAAAAGAATGGAGAAAATAATAATGATAATAGATTTTGTTAAATTCTGAAATAGCAACACTTTGGAGGTCTTTGGTTTCTGAGAAGTTCTTCTCAAAATAGAGTCACTTTCTGGCCTGTGAGTAAAATGACAAATTTCTATTCTATCAAAAAACTCACATAGGGAATTCATGTGCCCAAGCTTGGGCAGATCAATATTACATTTCAAAATTCCTCATTTGCTCTTTCTCAGAAACATAACTTTGTAATGTAGATTACTTTATGGTGTTACTTATTGTCATAGTTATCTAGTGGTACCATTCTCCTACTCCATCGGAGTGACAACTCCACCCTTAGAAACACCAGAGGCTATGGCTCCACCCTTTGAAACCCCTGAGGTCTTGGCCATACCTTTTGGGACTGAGGCATCTCGGCTTCTTGTGTCCCTTGTTTCTTTAGCTTCTGCTTCTGTTTCCTGTGGCCTTTTGGCCCTTGGGCCTCATGCCTGCATCTGCCCTGCTGGGGCAAGCGTTCCAAAGCTCTGTAGCTCCACCGATAAGTGCCCAGAGGCACCCCACTCCGCCAGGAAGCCTCCTGCACACGGGCACTCAGCTCCCTTGCTCCGTGGGTCAGCAAGCCTAGCTCCACCAATAAGTGTCCGGAGGCACACCACTCCGCCAGGAAGCCTCCTGCACACAGGCACTCAGCTCTCTTGCTCCGTGGGTCGGCTCCAGTGCCATCTCGCACTGGTCTCCTGGTTCTGCTGCTGTTGGTTCTCTGCTGCTGCCGCTTCTCTGCTGCTGCTGGTCCTCTGTCACTGCCGCATGTCTATCCATTCACAGTTTTAAAACTGTTTCCACATTTTAGGTATCTGTTAGAGCAGCACCCCACTCTCTCGGTACCAAATTCTGTCTTAGTTATCTAGTGCTGCTATAACAGAAATACCACAAGTGGATGGCTTTAACAAAGAGAAATTTATTTCTTCACAGTAAGGCTGAAAGTCC